AGCAAAGTAATGAGATTTTTGAATGTCCAGAGTGCGGAAAAGAGATAACATCAGGTATCGGACTTTTCAGTCACAGAAAAATTCATGAAAGAAAACGCCTTCCAAACGATCTTCTGATGCGGGTCAAATACTCGTCAGCGAGTAATGGCAGTAAGTAAGTAAAATACCATTAATACAGAAAAACAATGATTTAAACATACTTTATAATCGAGTTATTTATTATAAATAAACATTGTATTTAAAATAACATAAATATCATGTAGTTTTATATGTATTTTTTTTACTTTTTTAGAGATTAGACTGTACTTTTTGACCAACCCCGACTAACTCCTTACGTAGGGTTTAAGGCTAATTCATCTATAATCAAGCTAAAGCAGTGTGGCACATCACTCAAAACTGCGTTGCGTTTTGTTTGATTAAAATACGTCTGCTGGATCTGTGCACAGATTATACAGATTATAAACTTTGTTTTTTCTTTATTGTTTTTCGTGGTTCCAAGTTTCGGAATCGGGCACTAGTTAGGTTACTAGTTTGCGCACATAGCACGCCCACTTATGGCCACTAAAATTGTGCACAGCGCCTGACCGGCACAGTTATTAGAGAGATATCGGAAAACCGAATAGCGTCATGCAGTATTTACGTGTACCTTATCATGGTTACGATATGCGCTAGTCAATTTTTAACGCAACACCCGCTAATAACGTTACCGCCTGACGTAATTTACGGATCAATTACACCAAGCGCTATTTCTAAATAATGTTTAAAAATTGCTTAAATGGGCATGTGCGGGTATTTGACAACCGGAGCCGGCCGGCGAGATCTTTTATTTTAAGTTATGTTTGAATTATTTTGAATTATTACTTTAGTTTTATTAGGTAATTTGATATTTAAGTAGCTGGGATTAGTTTGAATTAAATAAATATGGCCCAAAATATGGATTCCACCTCTTCCAATATTAAAGAACCTATAAAGAGGCTTAGGTTTACAGCAGATGACGACTTAACCCTTCTAAGAGAATTTGTTGCTTGTTGCCCTAAACCCACTGGCATACGTTGAACAATAAAGCACTGGAAATAAGCACTTTAGTCCTTTAGTTTTAAAATACCTAGTAAACAAAACAATTTCAAAGTTTTAAATTCAAAGTTAGATTAAGTTTAGAACAGAATTCTTTCCGATCCGATAACTATAAATGAAGAGAGTTAATACCGCCTCACGTAAAGAAAATAACACCTGGCCTTATTAACGTCCATGCACGCTATTCGGTTTAGCGATATCTCTCTATTACGCTGTTTATTGTTATTTTACGCGAGTTTATTTTTGCGCACAGGAAATTTTACTCGTTTGCACATCGTCATAAAAAACAATTATTTTCGTACCACGAATTAGGGATAAGATTTTATCTGTATACATATAGTATACCTAATCTGTGCTACTAGTTTTTCGGGTTCATTAAGTGGTCTATGGCCGAAATAAATTTGTAGAAAAAAATACTTAAAGTATCATTAAAAGTGTAAAGAGAAGTACACTGTAGCAAATTAGTCTTCATTATTTAGAATACGGTTTTTTTCGTTATTTACTGTGTAAAATAAAAAATACGGAATTTTTTAATTACTATGATTTTGTAGTACTATTTAGAATATGTTGAACAGCAATAAATAAAGAAAAAATCACTGAACAACGCAGTTTAGATCTCCTGATATTTCTACATCTCTAATTATTTAATCTATTTCATACTGACACGCTATTGAAAAGGAATACATGGCGATACCGTCAATTATTATTTAATTCCAATACAATATTATTGTTATAATTAGTCATGCACCGCAGGTATTCTAATTATAGAGAGCGATTAGTGTTGGCTAAGGTGAAATGTATATGTGCATTAATTTTGATTTTTCAATCGGCCTCGCTATGGGACGCCGCGCCGCGTCGCGGCTTAGACACTGAAGCCTGAAATTATTTTTTGGTATTATGGACCCGGATAATTAAAAAACTTTAATGGAAACTACTACTTATTAGAGATGGGTAGAATCCGATATTTTAAAAGAGTTGGGTCCGGAGTTACATCAAGCTTCATGGAACTATACAGACCGGACCACCGAAGTAGTAACATAGGCAGAACCGGACGAATTAGCGTATACCCGTCCGCCGGATAAAAAGCAGGCAAATAATGCGATAAAATAAAAATAGGTAGATATGTGATAAGAATGTTTCAGAATTTGTATTTATTCGTGTTTTAATAGCCAAAACGAATACATAGATTCTCGCGACAGTTCTCGTGTAAAATTTATTTTTTAAGTAAATTAATGGATGTTTACGAAGTTCGTGAGAAAATTCAATTGTAAAATGGTATTTCCAAAATAGGTCTTATCGGGGTATACAAACAATTTTTCCACAAACTTTTGTAAACAGGCCAATTCCATCTTTACCTACTATATCAAGAGTTATTAATAATTTTGAAACACATGGGTGCGTGTCCCCACAAAAACACAAAAAGCCTGATGTGCTGATTAATGAAGAACAGGAGTTAAAGCAAGTGTTCATTTGTGCTACCGCGGATCAAAATCCCACGTTTTCAAGTAATCAAATTGCTGAGGTAACAGATTCTTCACCTAGCACGGTTAAAAGAGTCCTTAAAAAGAATGGATACCGATCGTATAAAGCGCGCAAAACTCAAGAAATTTTCCATGAAGACTAATTTCGGCGTATGGTGTTTTGTGAATCTGTAATGGAAAAGGCCAATTTAGATGAAAACTTTATTCGGTGTATAGTTTTCACCGACGAATCAAGTTTTCCTTTATTGAGTCGTCATAACCCTACACAAGTACGATATTGGTCTCGGGAAAATTTGCACAGATATTTTGAGGTACGCACGCAATATCCCCAAAAGCTAAATGTTTGGGGTGATATGCTCCCCGAGCGTATGATTGGTCCATTTTTTATAGAGGGTAATTTAACTGTTGCAAAGTATTTGGACTTGTTACAGCAGCAGATTGTTCCTAGAATTCGTGAGTTATTGGGAGAAAGATTCAATGTCTGGTTTCAACAAGATGGTTGCCCTGCCACAATGCCCGTATTGTTCAAGAATATTTGAACAATACTTTTCCCAACCGTTTAATTAGTGGATATGGAACTATTTTGTGGCCCGCTAGATCACCAGATCTTTCTCCTAATGATTTCTTTTTGTGGGGTTATGTAAAATCCATAGTGTATAATAAAAATACGAGAGGCTTTCCAAACCATTAGCCCTAATATGTTAGCCAATGTCAGATGGGGATTTTACGACCGCCTAGGCTTCTGTCTAGTACAAGAAGGTGGTCTTTTTGAACACTTGTTATAACTTTTTTTTATTTAGAGTAATATTTTAGTTTTTTTTTTTGGGTTTAGAGAATTTATTTATTTTTAGTTTTGGCTTGTAAACACACTCAAATAATAAATATTTAAGTATTTTTATTTTAAATGTTACCTTAAGTGAAGGTAAACACTTAAAATTAAAATAATAAATACTCTGCCCTCCTGGCGTCGTATTCCTAGTCTGTCACGACCGACCCGTCCAAGCACAACTGCAACTGCGTACTACCTGACCAGCTGACTAGCCGGCAGTGAATCTCGAGTACGAACGCAAATCGGGTAAACGTAAATTCGTCCGGCAACTTACTATGTTACTAGTAGTCTGGTCTTCTCTGTATACCGGTTCCAGTTCTGTCGGGTCTATATCATTCTAACCTTTAATTTTAATTTAAATAAATTTTGTTTTGCACGAGGCAATCCTCGTTCAAAAGATTTGTAGTCCGTTAGGGAAATCTACATAACTTTACACACTAATAATACTCCAGACACAATTACAGCCTTCCATCCCTATAGCTCACGCAGGGAATCCTCGTCACTAGGAAGTCCCTCTGAGGCCATAGATAATTTGAGGCTGATGTTAGTGTGCCCTTGAAACACACACACTTATGCCTATAGCCCACCATCTTTCCTCGCACTTTCTTCCACAACAATTTCCACATTTTTCAGCCCAAGAGACTTACAGGTACACTATAGCCTCCTTGTCAGAACAAATCTTAACAGATTTCACCTCCCCAGGTATATTTACGAGGTATATGTCGAGTCAGAGCAAGGAGGTAGACTTCGGATGTCAACAGTGTTTGAAAAAATGTGTTTACAGCCTATGGACGAAGTACCCGTTGCTGACGGCGATAACTTTAAAGGCCTTGTACAAGGAACTGACCTTATTTTTCAGCAAGGGAAAGCATCGATAAAGTCAGTAGTTCCAAGCTTTTCCTTGGCATAGTGTGCAAGCTGGTTTGCTGTATAAGAGGTGGGATTTTGAACACTATCGCGTAATGCCAGTCTTCTTTCTTGGAGAATCCTTGAGGTGTAGGTGTAATGGTTTTTGGAGAAGTAATACCCACTGTGTCCTGGTGTCCGAATGGTCAGTCTGCGTCGAACTAGACTTTTTTTCTATTTGTGGGTTACTTCTAACTCTTGGCTTTTCATTGGAGGCCAACTTTTCCAACTGAGTGCCATTCTATTTACACTCAAACGCAAATCACCCAACTCCTTTGATAAGTCATGAATTTGGACCTTAATAGACTAATCATGATTGTTCAAATAAAATAAACGACAAATTGAAAATATCTTGCTTCATTTCCTTGATGGAATGAAATAAAGATTCTTGTCTACCATCAGACAAACTGGTATGGAGGCTGTAAATGTCCTCCACTTTTTTACACAAGCTCTTCCACTTGGAGTCATGGTAACTCAAAATATCGTTAAGTTAATTAATAGAAGATAAAGCTTAGAGAATTTCATTAGTTACTACACACTTTCGTTTCGGCATTAATTTTTATTAAACCACTTAATTTTATCGGTAAAATTAAATATTGCTCGTTATATACCGATACTTTTAAATAAATTTACCATACATATATTCATAAAGCTCGCATAAGCATAACAAAATAGATTCAGACAAAGTGAAACAAGCTAGTGAAACTCACCTGCATGAGATTGCTGAAGTGGCCGTTTGTTTTTACTTTGGTTCTTGGTTGTGCTTTGTCTGCTTTTTCTATATGAATGGCTGGTGTTTCTCCATAGAGTGTGATCTCCGACCCTTTCAGCATATTGCACTTCATATCTCGAAGGTTAGGTTCGTCTGAAAATAAATTTCATATAAATATCATGCGCGATAATTTTATTATCATATTTGGCAATATTAGAAATACAGAAACGTTTAGTAGTTGAAATTATAAAAACAGACTTGTGTCAATTGCATAACTATTTATCATGTTACTCAAGATTAGATCTAATCTATTATTAGCTAATTAAATATAGTTATAAAATAAAGAACCACAAACACTATTGAATTCATTTTTCTCCAATTTTCAAAAAAAGTCTGATACGAGGTCTGATATATTATATTTTATCTATTGTATTTAAAAGATATATATTCCTTTAAAATACCCATTGGTAGACATAAGTTAAGTCAAATTCACTCAACTTAGTGTTAAAACATATTTTATAGTATAATCTTTCTTAGTATAGTCAATCTGGTAGCAAGAAAGGTCAAGAATCCCATCAAATTATCCCCGCTCTCATACTTTGCCAGTCGTAAGTGGTCCACTAGAAAGGCTTAAATTCGACAATTTCGTATTCCCCCACCCCACCGTTTTTGAGAAACTCAAAAAAATTTTGGATTCAATTTTCTGGCTGAACCATAGGCCCCACAGACAATTTTATGGAACAAAAAATGAAGAGAATTAAATTCTTTACATTTTCATTTTGTAATAAACCTCTAAAATCTACGGGAACAAAGTTAGAGGGCACCAAAGTCACTCAAATGCAGTTTTTTGCATTTTCCGGGTGAAACCATTTTTTTACTGTCGCAAAGTTTTTAAAAGTAAAGAGCATAAAAAAACTATCAAATTGATGTGGAACTTTTTTTTACGTTTTAATTTACAGTGGACCACTTACGATTGGTAATGTATGAGAGCAGGGAAAATTTGATGGGAGTCAAAGTGCCAGATTGACTGTATTAATTGGTAGACATGAGTTAAGCTACGCAAGCTAATAATTTATCAAATAGTATACAGTGTTCTCATAATAATGTTACAAATATTACGTTAACAAAATTTTAACGTTGACTCAATTTTTTAAACGGAAACACCTTTTTTTACTTTTGTTAATAATATATACAGGGTGAGTCATAAATAAGTGCAATCATTTTAAGGGTAGTATATTTTGACCCCAGAAACACGTATATGAGGGTTTTTTTTGCGAAAAGAAATTGTTGAAACTCGGAAATTTTTTGAAAAAAAATCTGTTTTTTTTATTTTTATTTTTAATTAAAAAACATAATATGGCAACATAGGGAGTAGATTAAATTTACAAGAAAGAAAACCCAGAAAAGATCCAGTGGTTCTCAAAATTTAAGCGAAAAATAATTTTTTTTTATAAAAAATAATCATTTTTCAAGTTTTAAAATATTTCGGTTATTTTGGATTTATTTATGGTAAAGAGAAAATATTTTTCTTTTATCTAGATCTACCAGCCCTGAAAATATTTGCACCTATTCAAGATTCACCCTGTCTATTATATTGTTTATATTCGCAAATTGAAATTTTCTTATTAGTCAAATTCTATTTCCCCTAGTACACCATAAATAAGACTCTATTTCTGGTGTTAAAACATATTTTTTATATAACCTTTCTTGTCATTTATATAAATTGACATTAGAAAATAAATAATTGATAATTAATGAAGTAAAAAGCAAAGAGTGAATGACAGAAAGGAGCATTATTTATGTGTTATTTATATGCATTTATGTTACGTGCTTGACTTTTAAGTAATTGTAATTGAGACCTTTAAATGTGACGAATAAAGATCTTTTAGAGGCATTTAAACAGTACATTTGGATGAGTATTTTGATGGGACATTAAAAGAGAAAAAATATACATTTCCGCCGTTTTTTACACAAAAAGGTCTCTTGGTATAAGCGGTATGGAAACAGTTCTCAAGATGCTTGCTTCATCCACGTTACCGTAGATGGAGCTAAGAAGATAGATATCTCAAGATATTTGGAATCGAATACATTAATATACAGGGTTGTCCGAAATGTATTCCGGAACCTTCAGCAGCATATTCCGCAGATAAAAATAAGTAAAAAAGTTCGTATATATGTATGTCCTAAGATGCTTAGTTTCAGAGATACAGGGTGTAGAAGTTTCATTTTTATTTCGATTTTTTCTAAATAATTTCTAAAATAACGTCAATATTTGAATGAAAATTGGGGTCTGGGAGTTTTTTGACATGAGAAATTTGATTTTGATGTCAATATGACTCCTACTAGTAGAGGGCGCCACCTACATGTGTTTTAACTGTTTTGAAGCGTAATAACTTTTTGTCCATACCTGTATAAAACTACCGAGTGAAAGAATATACATCTCTGTGTCTTTTACGTAAAAAATATCTCTTTCTAAAAATCGCTACGAGCAACCGTTCTTAAGATATTTAGAATGGAAATAGTCAATACATGTCATTATTGACGAAAAATAAACACGTTGAGTATAACTGAACGTTGAAATAAACACGTTATTTCACTGAAACAATAAATTTGGGAAATTTTAATTTTTTTTAAATTAATCATAAATTTTTCTGCAAAAAACGATGGTAAAACAGTTTCTGTTGAACTTTTGGCACAAGAGCATTTCAAATTTATGATTTCAGTCTAATAACTATTTAGTCAGCATGTTTAATTTATGTTAATGATGACAGGCATTGATAATTTCGATTCCAACTATCTCGAAAACCATTACTCGTAGCGATTTTTACCAAGAGACCTTTTTCACGTAAAAAACGTGGTGAATGTATATTTTTTTACTCAGCAGTTTTATACAGGTACGGACAAAAAGTTATTACTCTTCAAACCAGTTAAAAAATATGTAGGGGGCGCCCTCTACTAATAGGAGTCATATTGACATCAAAATCAAATTTCTCATGTCAAAAAACTCCCAGGCATCAGAAATTATATGGAAAAAATCGAAACAAAAATGAAACTTCTACACCCTGTATCTCCAAAATTAAGCATTTTAGGACATACATTTATACGAACTTTATTACTTATTTTTATCTGCAGAATATGCTGCCGAAGTTTGCGGAATACAGTTCGGACCACCCTGTATATTCGAATGCATAATATAATATAAAGTTTAGTTTAAAATATAGATTCCCTTACCTGAATTAGAGATAGAGCCATTGAGGGAACATAAAGGACACGCTTCGTTGGTGAACATACAGGAGTAACATCTTTCGTGGCCGCAGTTATCGATAAGTCTACGTTTTTTACCCTTGTCGAAGGGCATTTCACAGCTAGGGCACGTGCCTGACGTGTTCTCGGCGTCGAGTAACCTCCTAATAGCTGCCAGATCTGCAAATAAAAAAAAAACGCTTTAATATATAAGTTATAAGTCTTACTTCTACTAAACTAGTGCCTATCTATATTTCATATAAAAAAACTTTTCAATATAAATAGTATATAAACATATAACACTGGATTTTTCACACATACGTTTCTTGAAAGTTTTTAAGATAGAATTTAGATATAAATCTGAATGAACTTATCCTAAAATGTTAAACGTTTTTTTTTTGGTTACGCAAATTTGTTAACAACTACTATCCATGTTCCACATGGATTCTAATGCAGTAACATTTAACAAAAACAATAACTGGCTTATTTTTTTGATTTGTATTCGATCAGAACCTCATATATTTGCAACTTTCTTTCTATATTCTATCCATCTAGAGTTCTAAATTGCTTTTCAATACTTTTTCGCTGCTGTCTTAAACTTCAGTTGACTACTGCATTTGTTTCCTCTATTATCTATGTAGTCTACAGTCTACATATGTGGCAGAACAAGGCTTATCAATCATAGGCCCAGAACCGAGATGTATACTGACTATATCTGTATATATTACCTGACTTAGGTAAATTTACATGTACTGCCAAAATATAATTTTATTGTCATGCGACTGTCAATGAGCGTGAAGAAGTCTGTCATATAATTATAGTCGATTGCGATAGTAGACTACAAAGAAAATGTACATGTAATTCCAACAGTGTCCAACCTCTCACCCCTTGTCCTGAACCATTATGTTTGCATGGCCATAAAACAATAGGTGGTCAACAAATCTCTAGAATAATTGAAAAATTAATTAGAACAGAGACAGATGAAAAAAAGTCTGTAGTAAAACTTTCGCAAAAATTTATGGCAGACTTGATAAGAAAAGACAGGAAGACTATCAAAACGGAAATGTGATTACTGACATGACATTGCAAGCTCAATAGGCATCTAGAGCTGATGGGATTGACGAACCTGAGTAATTGACAAAGAGCTATTATGGGGGGTCCAGTCTCCAAATTGTTAAACTTTTTGAAAAGCATAGGACTAGAGAATGCAATCTAGAGATGAGAAGAAAACCGCAATAGAACTGAAAAGGTTGCAGAGGAATAGGCAATAGTCACCTTAAAAATCTAATCGATATTGTCTACAAACAAATTCATGATGCAGTACTAATGTAATTTAATAAATGTAATGTAATTTTTAAACATTTAAAATGATTTCAGTTATTTCAGCAATATCTGACATTTCATGAAAATGTCCTCAGCGAGGAGTCCTCACTACCCAGAATACGATGCAATATGAATCTATAATCTTGTCAATTTAATTTTATGTTTATAATAATTCATAATTATGTAAATTTTCAGCAGTTTAAATTAATTTTAATGTGACGCTATTTAGTACGAAATTTATATTTAATTGCGGCCATTACACACCGTATGGGTGCGTAGTGAAAACACCTATAAACCTTAAACTTTCGTTTGCCTCTTTTGTATATTATTTATATATAATACAAGCATATTAAATTTTAGAAAAACAAGGAATATAATCGTCGGTAGTTATGCCAATACGACAATAATTAGAATGGTCATCGACGGATACAGTACTGGGAGAATTTTCAGGAACTTGGAACACAAACAGAAAATTCAACTCGTTCAGCTCCCAGTGGATGACATAGCAAGAATTCACGACTGTGAGAAATACCTCACTGTAGTATTGAGCAATAAAAAGAATTGGAAGAGAGAAACGATTGCTCAGCATGTAAAAGGCCATACCATAACGTGATATACTGATGCTCCCAAAATCAAAGCAGGGACAGTGATAGGAGTATTTAGGCCAAAAGCAAAATACTCTGAACCAATGGGCACCTACCCCCAGCATCTTTTAAGCTGAAATAAACGCTATAGAAAGATGCGTACAATTTATCTTAGATAGGAACTATGGAAAACAGGAAATAACCATCATATCCGATAGAAAAGCGGCACTAAAAGCGATCAACTCAGTAACCATCAATTCGAAGTTAGCTAAAGAATACCTAGACAAGCTGGACAAATTAGGCAAAGAAAATAAAGTACTCCTACTCTAGGTGCCTGCTCACTAAGGTGATAGAAGGCAGGGAAAAAGCAAATGATCTAGCTATAGAAAAGGAGTGAACACTCCACTAACTGGACCAGAACCGTTCTGTTTTCTAAGCGGGAACCAACTCCATCCGTAACTTGGAATGGGTGTTCTCTAACGGTCTAAGACACTCGAAAAGGTTTCTCAGAATTTACGACCGAGAAAAAACAAATATTTTCCTTGATTTAACTAAAAACAATCTCTGAATTGTCACGGGTTTTCTAACAGGACACTGTCTCCTCAACGAACACCTCAGTAGGCTGAAGCTGAGAAACAACGGCGAATGCAGATTCTGTGGGGAAAATGGGAAAACACCAGAACACCTTATCACTGAGTGCACCGATACGACGACCGTTCGTGCCATTAACTTTCGTACGGCTGGTGTCGAGTATAGCTGGCCTCTGTAGAGCCGTCTTAGATACAGTCTCAGGGCTGTTAAAGCCCTGAGACTGTATGATGAGTTATAACTCGTTATAACTTAAGAAAGGGGAACACAATAGATCTTGTTAAGGTCGCGGTGATTAATTCCCCTCCTAAACATTCTACATATTTTAAAGATATGCACTTATCTGCAATATTATCCAATGTTGGTAAATTTACTTGTCTGGATTTCTCAGGGTAGAATTCTTCAAATTTGTAAGAATATCTTTTAATTTGGAAACAGAATTACAGACATACGTCAATTAAAATCAATTGTATTGATATCCTAAAATCTTCGGAAAGAAGTTGCATACATTACTTGATTTTTTTAATGCCATATTCTATTCATTACCAAAATCACTTAGATTGTAATCTTTGTAGATCATAATTTTATGAATACACATTCATCTATATCTTTTTTGTTTCCATATTAAATCTATATCAATTAAAACCATCGACAAAAAAGATACCTGCACTTAATAGACAATGTATGCATGCGTTATATAATTTTCGAAAGACAAAGAACGACCGATAGAGCAAATCATCACGATTTAAGGCCATTACTTAACCGCGAACCGTGTTCTCCCACCGTTGCGTTGCCTAACCGATAATTAAAATTGAGAAGGCACTAGGGACGTACACAATATATCGATGTATCAAAATTGTTTTAATTTTATTTAAATAGTATCAAAATATCGATATATACATTCCAAATGCCTCATCATTTTCGAAAATTATGCCACACTTTGAGTGGCATATTAGTCTCAAGTTGTTTTATTTTGTATTTAAATATGTTTGTTACTGATTATTAAGACGTAAAGTAAATACATATCCTTAAATTACATTGTTTACAGATGGTGACTAAAGGTTCTAAATTTGGCTGCTGGGGCTGCAACTCCAACACAACTTTCCCAATTGAGGCACGTTGAAAATATAAGTTATTGCATTGATCACTTAAAGTTCTCAGGACTTACGATCGAGAAAAATTAAATATTCTCCTTGATTTGGATCGATCTTTGGAGTGAACATCTCAGTACATTAAAGCTAAGAAACAACGGCGAATACAGAATCTGTTGTACTGGTTTTTGTCAAAGCCCTGAGACTCTATCTCAAGAAAGGGAGACACAATAGATCTATAAGGTCGAGGTGAATAATTTTCCCTCTCCCATACAATCTATAATTATTATTGACCAATCAACTGAATGCTATATCTAATAATAATTAATTAATTAATATATAACCATTAGGTACGTACATAACAGGCAGTCGGAAACCATTTAAGAAATAAAATGCCTGCGTAGTAATCACTAGGTGGTGTTGTTTCGGAATTTAGCAAATATTGCTGATATTTTCAAAATAATCAAAAAGTGACTTTTACATCACAATTTATTTTGTATATTTTGTCGCTATAAAGAAGTAAACATTTAATAGTGAAATAAAAAATTGGCGCCGGGAGGCACGTATAGCCGCCCATACTAAAATATGTTAATAAAAAGTTCGTAGGCAGTTCTTTTAGTTTTAAAGTAAAGGAATTTTTCCAATTTTTTTTATCTCAAGAACTGCGACTTTGACTGATTTTGATGTTATAACAAATTTTGTTGCAAATATTATTCCTAATCTTAAATTGAAAACCGCGTTTCGCTAGCTACTGTAATTTTGGAGTTACGATTTTTAAAATTTTTAACCTCCTCCCATACCCCCTTACCAACCCCCCACTTCCACCAAAAACTAATAGCCAGATTCTCGGGTGCCACAGTATTATTGTGCCAAATTTGGTCAAAATCGGATTAGCGGTTTTTGAGTTATCGTCTTACAGACGGACAGACAGACAGACAGACACCATGAAAATATTTTGTATTTAGGTCATTTATGACCCAAATAACTCATTTTGCGTGAAATTAAAAAAACTTTTTTTTGCCGGTCTTAATAGCCTACCATACCTATTGGTATACCATACCTATTGGTATGGTTGGCTAAAAAAGAGGTCCATATTTAAATTAAGAAGTTGATGATGGTCTCCCGAATCCGAAATGCCCGATCGGAAAATTAACCTTGCCGTTTTTTTAAGACAAAAATTGATAAGGGCTAAATAAAATAATTTTCACCTCTCATTTTAATTAATCCTAAACTTTTAGGAAAACCAAAAACAAATTCTTTATTTCCATTTCTTGTGATTTTATGTTATGTCAGTATGTCATTTCTACAATTTTTTTCTCAATGTCTTTATTTTCTAATTTAGTTATCAAATAGATACTTAAAATGGGTTACCAAGTAGATACTAAAAATATACGTATTTTTTATATTACTGGCGATTTTTCTATTACTTTTAGACTTTTCTAGTATTTAGACATTTATATAAAACTATCAGATCCGGTCAACTTCGTACCACCTATAACAGCGAAGTGTAATAAAGGGATGTAAGCGTTTTTCTGTTAATCTTGTGGTACGGATAATTGATTGACCGACTGATCTGGTATGATTGAAACCAATCGATATGATCATTATCATTATTTGTTTTTTATATTGTCTCTACACTTCGATTGAAGTGTAGATTTTCTATATACAGTGTGTTACAACTAACTAAGTATGCAACATATGGGATATTTTGTTATTATAAGTCCAAGTTATTATAAGTTAATGAAAAATATGCTATTTTATTACTCTAAAAGTTAATTTTCTGTATAATACTTTTTTTATATATATAATTTTCTGTGAATTCTTCCAATAGGTATATCAATAGAAGAAAATATCGATACATTTTTTAATTTTATCGATATTCATAGTAAGTACCGACATTTTGTAGATATCAACATCTCTACAGAGCGTTCGCGTTCTCTCGTAGGGGTCGATGTTTGATTTATGCCTCGCTCGTATCCAACCAGACAACAAATAAGTTTATTTCAATGTTAATAAGAGATAGTTATGTTTAACGTTATCGAATGCCTTTTCATAGTCTATAAAGCACATGAAGACATCTTTTCTCTGATCTTGGCAATTCTGTACTAAAGTTTGAAGACTGAATATAGCTTCTCTAGTACCAAAGCCGTTCTTAAATCCAAATTGACTTTCTCCACTTACTTCCTCACTTTTTTTGTAGAGTCTTGTATGCAGTACCCGTAAAAAGAGCTTAAGAAAGTGGCTCATTAGACTAATAAGACGATACTCTTTACACGAAGTTGCGTTACTTGACTTGGGTAGCGTGATAAACGTAGAACGAAGCCAGTCTTCAGGGATGTGACCGGTGTAATAGATGTTATTGAAAAGCTGTACTCTAGTTTTTAAGTTTTGTTCATTAAGTAAGTGGAACGTTTCCGAATACATATCATCAGGCTCTGGAGTTTTGTCGTTTTTCGTTAATCCAATCGCATGAATAATTTCACTTTCCAATATGCTTGGTCCTGATGGCATGGGCATCTCAGTTGCAGGGTTTTCTGATCTTTCGTCGTTGAAAAGATTAATGGAATAATTTCTCCAAGTTTGGAATAGTTCTTCTGTTTCCGTCATAATTTTATTTTCATCAGTTTTAATTAGGGTTATTGATTTATTATGGTGTAACCCAGCTATCTCTTTCACTTTCTTGTGAAGATGGAAATCTCTTTCACTTTCTTGTGACGATTCACCAAACCAAACCAAACCCCCTCCCATACCCCCTTACCAACCCCACACCTCCACCAAAAACTAATGGCCAGATTCTCGGATGCCACAGTATTATTGTGCCAAATTTGGTCAAAATCGGTTTAGCGGTTTTTGAGTTATCGTCTTACAGACGGACAGACAGACAGACAGACACCATGAAAATAATTTGTATTTAGGTCATTTATGACTCAAATAACTCATTTTGCGTGAAAATAAAAAAAACTTTTTTTTGCCGATCTTAATAGCCTACCATACCTATTGGTATACCATACCTATTGGTATGGTTGGCTAAAAAAGAGGTCCATATTTAAATTAAGAAATTGATGATGGTCTCCCGAATCCGAAATGCCCGATCGGAAAATTAACCTTGCCGTTTTTTTAAGACAAAAATTGACAAGGGCTAAATAAAGTGATTTTCACCTCTCATTTTAATTAATCCTAAACTTTTAGGAAAACCAAAAAAATTTTCTTTATTTCCATTTTTTGTGATTTTATGTTATGTCAGTATGTCATTCCTACAATTTTTTTCTCAATGTCTTTATTTTCTAATTTAGTTATCAAATAGATACTTAAAATAGGTTACCAAGTAGATACTAAAAATATACGTATTTTTTATATTACTGGCGATTTTTCTAGTACTTTTAGACTTTTCTAGTATTTAGAGATTTATATAAAACTATCAGATCCGGCCAACTTCGTACCACCTATAACAGCGAAGTGTAATAAAGGGATGTAAGCGTTTTTCTGTTAATCTTGTGGTACGGATAATTGATTGACCGACTGATCTGGTATGATTGAAACCAATCGATATGATCATTATCATTATTTGTTTTTTATATTGTCTCTACACTTCGATTGAAGTATTTTCTATATACAGTGTGTTACAACTAACTAAGTATGCAACATATGGGAATTTTTGTTATTATAAGTCCAAGTTATTATAAGTTAATGAAAAATATGCTATTTTCCCATTATTTTCTGTTGAATTTATGTTCTATAATGTCTAGTATATCACTCATTTGTAATGGAGATTAATTGTTACAAATAGGCTAAAAGTGTGCATGACGTGAATTGCCAATTACAGAAGATGGCGGAGTTCCAAGCCTTATTCCTCTAAAAGTTAATTTTCTGTATAATATTTTTTTTATATATATAATTTTCTGTGAATTCTTCCAATAGGTATATCAATAGGAGAAAATATCGATACATTTTTTAATTTTATCGATATTCATAGTAAGTACCGACATTTTGTAGATATCAACATCTCTACAGAGCGTTCGCGTTCTCTCGTAGGGGTCGATGTTTGATTTATGCCTCGCTCGTATCCAACCAGACAACAAATAAGTTTATTTCAATGTTAATAAGAGATAGTTTGCGGTTACGTCTTCCAACGGGTCGTGATTTACTCGATGACTGCTACAAAAATCGACTGGTTTTGTTGCGTTACAGGAAAAATTTGCAATGAGATGTCAGGATCTGTAGTATTTGAAGGAGAAAGGGATGAAACGTGACTTGTTTTAAAAAATGTGAAAGATTTATTCGATGACTGCTATAAAAGTCGACTGGCTTTGTTGTATTAAGACGGATTTCCATGCACCAGACGCAATTATAATTCAAGGGGTGGCTTCAATAACTAGGCAGCTCAACTTTTTTACGAAAATGAGATATTTACTGCATTGCCCTTTAAAAAATAGTCCTATAGTTCTTTGCAACAATCAGGTATCTTCATTCAACAATACATAAATAGCAAAATTATTTGGAGCTGCCTTGCTTTCGGATGTAGTAAGAACAGGGCAGCCTCGAGGGCAGCTCTTCGAGGTCCCTACTTTGACTAACAGAATTTATTAAAATGGAGCTGCCTGGTTATTGCAATCACCCCTTCGATTGAAATGGTGGCTGCAATAACCAGGCAGCACCACTTTAACACAAAAAGAAAATAAATTTGTAGAAAATCGAAAAAACCTTCTACAATTTCAAAATTTGTTGTTTTGTGAGTATTCCCTTTTCTGCAGTAAAAGCACGTAAAATATAAGTTTTTACGTATTTTTTAAATATTATCAATATCATACTTTAATAAAATAAACATAAAGAATTTGAGTTGCCTGTTTATTGTCAAAAAAATAATAAAGAAAATATTTTTTCTGTGATCGTGCAAAAAGTAGCTATTTTTACACTATCTACTGTATTAAAAATAAAAATTTTTATACTAGTGCAAGAAATTACTTATTTTTTACATTATGTAAAAAATTTGATTTTTAATGAAACAAAAAAATAAAAACACCTTGACATTATTAATGACGAGTTTAAATGAGGAGAAAAAATTTGTAAATGTTAAAGTTTGTCAAATTTTGTCAAATCCTGGATCTTTGCCAAACCAAGTATCAGTACTGGAC